CCTAACCTGGGTCTGGAAGAGAAGCCAAGGACAAACAAAAAGGAACAAATATGTACATGAATGCAAATTGTGATGAAGGCCCTGAAGGAAGAGAATAGGGAGATGGAATAACTAGGGGCTGGGGGGGGGGCGGGGCTCTGAAGAGAGGCCTTTAAGCTTAAGGCTGCATGAGAAAGATCCTCCTTCAAACAGTAGAGGGAGAGAAGATTCCAGACAGAGAGGATAGCAGGTGCAAAGACCCTGGGGTTGAAAAATAGCACGGCCTCAAGGAACATAAGGAGGCTGGTATGACAGGTGTGGGGCCTGGAGAGACAAAGGTCTGGCCAGGCCAGGCCATCAGGCAGGCGGCACAGGGGGGCACAGGGGGGCCAGGCAGGAATTTGCATTTTAATCTGCTAGGAAGTCCTTACAAGGCAGATTTCCTTTGGGTTTTAGAAAGATCCTTCCAGCTCCTGAGCAGAGCTTTGGCCGAGGGGAAGCCATGTGGAGCGGGGAGAGGAGGGAGGAGGTTCCAGGTAAGAGTCTGGGAGGGAGGCGGGAGATGTAGCCCCGTCCACGATGAGATCTGAGCTCAGAATTCCAAAAGCTGAGCCTGCGGCCTGTGCTGGCCAGGGGGAAGGAGGGGGTCGAGGCCAGCTGTCTCCAAGGGAGACGCCCGGGCTGCGGGAGGGTTGGGTGGACTCTCGGGGTCCCCCCAGTTGGGCCGTGAAATACACGGAGGCCCACGAGCCATGTCCTCAATAGAAAGGCTGTCATCTAAGCCGCAGAAACTTCCCCCGGAGCCTGGGGCCTGGCACTGAGGGCTGGGACATCAGTCCCTGCTCCGGAAGAGCCACCGGCCAGCCCCGTGCGCACTGAGGGAGCCCCCGGGGCCGGGCTGCCTCCTCGCCCCTCCCGGCCCCACTGTGCGCCAGCAAAGAAACTCATTAGCCAAATGCAGAGCTGGCGCTGAGTCCCGTCGCCCCGAGCACGGAGCCCGTGGCAGGAAGACACAAGAGGCCCAGCAGATGGCGGGGACTCTCCAGGATCAGCCTCAAAGGTCACCGTCTGTCACTGCCCGCTGGCCGCATCCTCTTCTGCATCAATGGAGGTTCGCACGCTGACGCTGACTTCAGGCCCCGCTACAAGCTGCGCGCCGTGACATTTCCCGTGGACTGACTGTGTGCCAGACACCGCGCACTCAGACCTGATCTTCGCCCCACCCCGCCTGTGAGGTTGCACGGATGCGAGTCCCACCTTACAAATGAGGAAGGAGGCAGAGGAAGGTGGGTCAGGTGGCCAGCCCCCAGCCCAAATCCTCCGCCTGCTGCGGAGCCTGTTTTCTCCACCGTAAGACGGAAGAGAGGCTAAAATGATTTCTGGATTCTGAGCTCTTCCAGGTCCAGAGTTTGGAAAGTGCTTCTTTGAGGGGTCTGCACTCTGTTCCTTCACCTTGGAATAATGGCTATTATCAGGGAAAGAGCCTATTGGCTCATTCATACTATGGTGTCCATGACTGATATGATAAGCAGAGGTGAGTTAACTCAGATGGAGCAGGGATTCAAGTTCAGATCTGATTGGCTCCAGAACCTGGGCTGTCCCCCAAACATGGCATCACAAAGGCCACATCCTCTGGTTTAATTTTTTTTTTTTTTTTTGTACTGGAGATTGAACCCAGCTGGGCTTAACTACTGAGCCACATCCCCAGCCCTTTTTATTTTTTTATTTTGAGACAGGGTCCCACTAAATTGCTCATAATCTCAATAAGTTGCTGAGGCTGACCTCTAATTTGCAATCCTCCTGCCTCAGCCTCCTGAGCCGGTGAGATGACAGACAGGCGCCACCACACCACCCCCCAGCAGCAAGATATTTTTCACACCCGTCACTACTCCCTGTCCTGGGAGAAGGGGCCCAAATGAGGATGAAGGAAGGAGGCAGGGGCAGTGAGGTCGGGGATGTCAACTATCAGAATATGGTCTCCAGAGTCAAGCCTTCAGGTCCCCAAAGAGAGCCTGGGTTCCTGCCTCACTTCTAACTCAGCTTATTTCCACAGGCTGTCTGCAAGGAGCCAGGCCTGGGAGCAGGGGACTGGATGCAGCCCTGCCCTGTCACTTCATCAGGGCCCGGTCCCCACATCTGTACAACAGGGAGGTGGCCCCGTCCAGCTCTGGCGCTTGCAGTTCTGCTCACATCTGGGCCCCGACTGCACCCCCTGAACATTCTCCAGCAGGGAATCACCCCTATGCCCCACCCAGACCTCCCCTTGGGGCCGGGCACTGGAAACCCAAAGCCACAGTCACAGCTCCGGCCAAGCTCCCAGCAGGGCCTCCTCCTGCCCAGGGCAGCAGGGGTTGGGGCAGGAACACCTGGAGCAGACCCCACTGCCCCCCCAGGGCCCTCCCTCTGCAGAGTTCAACCTCTGGGCCTCTGTGAGTGGCTTTCACGATTCTCACCCAGCCTCTCGTTCTACCAGTTTAATTATTGAGGAAGACTCTTGTCACCAGCCTGGAACATTAAGGCTGTTAAAAGGGACCCAGGGAAGGCAGACCACAGCCGGCTGGTTCCTCGGGCTCCCTCTGCACTGCCTCCCCCTCCCAGCAGACCCCCGCTGCCCACTCCTTCTCCCCCCCCACCTCTACCTCTAGTCCCATCTCACTCTGTACTGCTGGGGGCTGGGTCCCCTGCCCCAACCCACTCCTTCCCTGTGACCTGAGGAAGTGCAGGCCAAACGGAGCCAGGCCACCTTCATACCTGACCAGATGGACACTGGGCTCGTCAAACACCATGGGACTCCGGCCCTTCCCCCACCCCACCTTGCCATGGGGAGAGGATGGCACAGAATCACAGTCACTGCCTGTCTGGGGTCCTGAGCACCTGTCCCAAAACAGCTGTGTTCCCAGGAGCACGCTCTAAAGCCTCACACTGAGAAGGACCATTTTTTTGAGCTTTTGCAGGTATCAAATGACCTGACCTCTCAGCTCCTGAGAGCCTGGCCACCTTCTGGAAGAGGGGAGGGACCTTCACTGATGTCATGGCTCTAAGCGCTGGGCCCAGGTGCTTTACCATCTTTCTGCAAGACTCAGGTGTTGAATACGAAGATCAAATAAGGACCCCCCAGCAGCCCCTAGCATCGTGGCCTCCTGGAGGCTGGGGTCTGTGCCTGACAGGGGGACAGGGGGCCCAAACCTTGACCCCTCTGCTGGATGCCCCAGGCCACCTCCCCTCCCCAGGCCTGGGTGAGGCAGCTGAAGTGCCAGCCCAGCATCACCAGGCCCCGACCCTCCTGCCCCTGCGTCCACCCCAGGAATGGTCCAGATACCCATTTCCAAACTGTCCCCCGAGGAACCCTAAAAGATCACCCTGGGCAACACAGTCCCCAGGGACTGTTCAAATTGCCCACTGTGGGGACAGAATTGCTTCCAATCCCCTGCTTCCTCTTTGAACCACATGCAAATTTGGCATTGTTCATAATGCATCCATTTGTTTTAAAATTAAAATCATGTTTTCATCCAGATCATCAAATAAAACCAACAGTCCAGGAAAAAGGACGGTACTTGAGGACCACATGGCTCTGCGGGGACACTGCTGATGGCTATGTGACAGGGGGGGCTGGCCTACGGCTAACTCCTTCCCCAGCCAGAGCTAGTGACAGAACAACTCAAGCCAGCTCCTACTCCCCTGACCGGCACCCCATCCCCAGCCCTGCCACCACCTCCCCCCAGCCCCTACCCTGACCTCCAGTGCAGACCCTCCTTTCCATTCATCACACCCTGAGATGCCCCCAGGTACTGATGCATCCTGGGAGTTAGGTCAGAGGGTTCCAGGAAGGGTCTGGGTGACAGGGACCCAGCCTTAGCTCTTCCCACCCTGCACGGTGCCAGGCAGCTTCTCCCAGTTCTCTGCCAACTCTGGAGACAGGGGAGAGGAAGGGCCATCTGCAGAGGCCAAGATCTGACAGCCGCCTGAGGGAGGGACCCGGCAGCTTCCCCTCCCCTCCCCCTCCCCCCCCCAGCCTCTCCCCCTCCACACTCATACCGACACCAACACGCAGAGCAAACGAGGCAGGCTGAGGGAGAGAAGCGGGCACATAATTATTGGTAAAATGCTTGTAATGTTTTTCCCTCTCCCCGGTAGCTTTCAGTTGTTTTAGCAGCTTAGCGAAGCACTTGGCTCCAATTGAATTGCAAATCAGCAGCTCTTGCCCCGGGAAGAGAGGAAGGGAGGCGGCACGGAGGGGGCAGGGCGGGGTTCCAGAAGGAGAGGGAGAAAGGTGTGTTTGGAGGAAGGGCAGAAGGAAGGCCCTGGAAGAGGGGGGTGCTCAGTGCAGGGCCCGGGGCCCAGAAATGGAGACGCAGCTCCCGGCGCCCGCGGCCTCCTCTGCAGGCTCTGCAGGCTCAGCAGCCCCACACCCTTCCAGAAAACCAGGACGCGGTTTCCAACACAATCACGGGCCGGGAGGGAGGCCACCAGGGGCTTCCTCAACTACCCAGAAGAAAACATCCCTTCCCTGGGAATTGCAATTATTTGAAAACAATGTCAAAACAAAAGTCTTGCTTTTTCCTCCCTGCAAACCTCCAGCGTTCCCACTTCCGCTCTCTTTTCATCCGCCTGCCCGTCCTTCTCCCCACGTGTCTGTCTTTTCATCTGTCTGTCTGCCCATCTCCTCCTTTCTTCTGTATTACCCTCCTGGTTCCAAGTTCCCCGGGGAGGCATGGAGTCCCGCCCGGGGCTGCCATTGGCCGCTGCTTCAGCACCATGGTCAGCACCATGGTCAGCGCCGGCGAGCCGGGTCCCTCCGCGTGGCCCTCGCGGCTGTGCCCACGCTCTGATCACGGAACAGGACAACACACTGAGGCCAGAGGACTGACCCCCGCCCTCAGACAGGCTCCAGGTGAGACTCCCGAGGAGGCAGGAAGGGAAGAGGAGAGGAGAGACACGGGCTGGCTAGGTCCCCCTCCTGGCCTTGGGGGACTAGGGCGGTTGGCGGAAGCACACCTCCAGGCCCCACCCCGGGCACTAACCTTAAAGAGGCGCAGGATGTTGGCCACCATGATGGAGACCGAGCTCCCTGAAGCACCGATGACACCCACCACGCGCTCGGGCTTGGTGATGATGGGCGGGCCACCGCTGCCACAGCGGACCTCCGTGCCGTCCTTCTCGATGAGCGCCTGCACAAAGGTCAGTGACTGCTCCAGGGCATGGGTGTCCCTCGAGCAGGTGTCCAGAATGCGGGCGCCCAGCGTGATGTTGGGCAGCAGGTCCGGGTCATTGTTGATGCGATCCAGGGCAAAGAGCATGGCCTCCAGCCGGTGGATGCCCTTCTCCTTCTTGAGTTCTCCACACGCCTTGCCCTCCGAGCCCCGGCCATGCACTGGGAACAGGCCTCCCAGGGTGATGTCCCCGTCTATGCGGATGGAGTTCATGTGGGGGTGGCCTTTGGGCTTCCCCAGGGAGGAAGGCACCCAGGGGCCGTAAAGGCTGAGGAGCAGGCAGAGGGGCAGCCGGGCCCACCACCAGCCCCAGCCTCTCTTTCCAGGCATCTCGGAAATACCTAGAGACCCATGAACGGTGGCCCCTCCTAGCCCTCACAAGCCCCGGGTCCTCCAGCCTGGGTGCGCAGGGGCAGGCTGCTTCAGCAGTAGGGTGGCCAGGGGTGGCCAGCTGGGACAGCCATGCTGAGGCTCTCTCTGCCCTCCTCCTTGTCACCTGGGCAGTGCTCAGTGGCCCACACAGTCCAGGCCCACAGACGGCAGGCAGGAGCCGACGGGGCAGCAGGAACACTCTGATCCCCAAGTCCTGCAGGCCGGATCTTCATGGATGACTGTGGAAGGGTGGAGAGGTCCTAGCTTGCGTATCCTGGCATCAAGGAGAAACCAGCTCCAGTCCTCTCCTACCAACCTGAGAGAGAGAGAGAGAGAGAGAGAGAGAGAGAGAGAGAGAAAATATCAAACACAAGTCCAGAGAAGACATTAGCTATTCTGATCTCTCATCAGGAGCCTGGGAGAGGGAGATGCTGGAGGTTATCGCCAAAGACTCCATAAATCTCCTCTACTGGGTTTCCTCCCAGCTGCGGCTCAACTCTGGTTGAAATGGGAGAGTTTGAGGCAGAAATTAGGTCACGTTTGAGGACTGCCCAGGGCCAGTGCCCACGGCCATCAGAGGCCCAGGCGTCAGACAGCACACTTCCTAGGAACCGCAGGAAGGGCTGGGGAGGAGGCCTTCCTCAACATGCCTGCAGGAGCCAAAGAAAGAAACCAGCTTTGCTGTGCCCAAACCCATTTTAGAGATGAGGAAACTGAGGCCCAGAGAGACTCCCCAGGCTTCCCAGCTCCAGGCTCTGGAATCGGAGACTTGTTGACTCTTTGGGGACTTAGAAACCAAGAAGGCAACAAGGGGTGGCTGTGGTTCCCCAGATGAGCCCAGCTCATGCTGAAGGCCGGGGAAGGCCGAGGAGAACAGGGATGTGGGGTTCTGGATTTTCCTCCTGATCCATGAGGACATGGGGGGCCCTCCACTCGCACGTTCCCACCCAGCGGCTCAACTGTCCCAGGCGGAGGATAAACTCCAGCGACTCCTTTTTGCTCCCTCACCCCTTCCTGACTCTCTCTGTCTCTCCTTTCTGGATCACCCTTCTCCACTCCCCACACCCCTCCCTGTGAGTGGGGCTCAGGTTACGGCCTGAGCTACTGCACATTATTATGATCGTCGTCATTATTATTGTTGTTGTGATTAAATATTTATCTGCAAGGGTAGAGGAGAGAACACCAGCTCTGCCTCATTCTCACTGCTAATTTGGGCTAATTTCCCCCGGGGGTTCCTTCCCTTGCCCAGGCTCCCTGCCCAAAGCCAGCAGCCTCCTTCCCTCCACCTAGAGAGTCAGGGAGTCAGGGCTTGGCTGGGAGGCCAGCTCCCGAGGCCAGCTCCCAAGTCCCCTTCCCCAGGGGTTGGACAAATGCAGACCAGGATGCCTCTTGGCCATTCTATGCCTCAGTTTCCCCAGAGAGCTGAAAAAGGATTCATGTTTGGATTGAGAGGTTTCCCCAGAGACATGGCACCTCCATCAAGGCCAAGTGGAGGTCTTGGATCCAGCCCCGCCCCACCAATATCCCCCCCACAAAGGCCCTGACTGCTCCAGTTCTGGGCCAAGAGGAAGGAGGGACATGGTGTGACATCCCAGAAGCCAGCCTCAGCTCCTGGGCTTCGGCCTCTGCAGACCCTCACCTCACTCACTGAAATGGTCCCTCCACTTGAGCTCCTCAGGAGCCAAGAGTATGGCTACTAATTCCCTCTAGCCACACTCTGCGGGCAAACCAGTGGCCCGAATGCAAATCATGGCTCTTCCAATGTCACCCAGCCAATCAAGATGTGTACAGGTTTGCAGTGGCACATGCCTGTAATCCCAGCTACTGAGGAGGCTGAGGCAGGAGTACAGCAAGTTCAAGGCTGGCCTCAGCAACTTAGCAACGCCCTGTCTCCAAACAAAAAATAAAAGGGGCTGGGAATGTGGCTCAGCTGGAGAGCTCCCCTACAATCCCCAGCCAGCGCCAGACAGAGAAAAGAAAAAGAAAAGCTGGTGTGGAAGCCAGCTCAGCCACCCAGGGAGCTCTGAGGGAGTCCAAAGATGATTTCATAATGCCACCATCTCCAGGAACCAGTGACCCAGGGCTGAAGGCCAATGCTTCCAAAACCCAGGGGATGGGGAGGCCAGGTAGGTGGAGCCCACACCGTCTTGTGGATGAGTCTATGAGATCTCTTTCCTAGACAGAGTGAAAGGAGGCGGGCGCTGGGTTGCTAATGCCAGCACCAGGCAATTCAGAAAAGAGAAACTGGAGAAACCCCTCCACAACTCCAGTCTGTTACTACTGTGCAAGGCACAGCCTGTCTGGTCCTCAGTTTCAAAATCTGTAAAATGGGTGAATTGGAGCAAAATCCAGTCTAAGGGCTATACTTCCCCTTGGGCATATTTTCTGTCGTCATAATGATGGTAGAATCATCAAGAAACCTATGTACAGGCAGGGTTCAAGGATACTAGACTTCCTGCTGCAGGTAGGAGAGAGTCTACTCAAGGAGACACTGTCTGTCTGGTGACAGGGCCCAGGGAGCCAATGGCTGTGCACAGTTGCCTGCCGGGCACCACTCTCGGTGCCTTCCTTACGTTTTTCCGCCCTGTGAGCCGTGTGGTGTTTTTGTCCCCATCTCACACTCAAGTGACAGGGAACCGGGGGATGTGAGGGTGTGCAGGGTGCCCACACCCCTGCAGCTCCCCGCACTGGACCAGCCGGCCAATCCTTCAGTCCCTGCCAGCCCTGACGCCCTGTGAGTTCATGATTGGTTTCCATGAATTTCAAATGGAGGGATCTTGGCATGGTGACAGAGTGTGCCACAGCAGGGCAGACTCAGCCCGGGAGGCCGACGCGCAGCCGCTTCAACAGTCGGGCCGTGCTCAGGCTTCCAGATCCTTCGTGGGGGCTCGGTGCTGGCTTCCCTGTGAGGCCTGCGCACATCCGAGCTGAGCAGCGGGTGCACACGGGGACCCACGGGCAGGAGGCCTTGGAGAGGACAAGGGCAGACACCCGCAGGGTCAGAACCAAGAGCCCCGAGGCCCAGGCCCTGCCCCAAGTCCTCCCTCCTGGGGCCTGGGTCCAGCCCCTGCCCGCAGCAGGGCCCACACCAGCCCTCGGTCCTACTGGGCCTGCCTTTCTGAGCTCCTCCAGAGAGCCGGGCAAACCGCTGCCTCTTTTAGCCTCCCCTCCTGCCTTTGATCATGTAACAGGAACAAGGGGAAAGTAAAAATACCCTGAGTGAAAGAAGCCAGGAGAGCAGGGGCGGGGGAGGCGCCCCGTGCTCCTTCCCACCGCTGCCTCCACCAGCCCAGGAGGGGGAGCAGGCCGGGGCAGGAGGGGGTCCTTCTTTAAGTCCTTTCCCCAGTCCTTAGACTCTCCCCACCCCCTGGCCAAATCCAAAATAGCCAGGGAAGCTCAAGCCTGGGGCAGTGAGTGGGGGCCTCCCCAGGGAAACCCCAGGACAGCTGCAGATCCGAGCCAAGCCCAGCTGAGGGGGGCCTCACCCCACTTTTCTTTTCTCCCCCCCTCTATTCCCTGGTTCCTCCCCTGAAGGATGAGGGCCTAGAAGGAGCAGGGACCAGGGGCAGAGGGGAAGGGAGGCCATCCTTCCCTCTCCACACAGACAGCTCACAGGCTAACAGTGTTTTCCAGAACATTCTTTTCAGTGAACGGGGACATGGGGAGAGCTGGCAAGCAGCTGCAGGCTGCCCCTTACCCCTCGGCCACAGTCAGGGCAGGGGAGTCCCCAGGCATGCCAGCTGAGGGCCCCCTGGCACCTGAGGGAGGGCCTGTGGGGGGGGGCCTCGGGGATCGCTGCAGCCCTGAGGAGCAGGCTCTGCCCTCCCCAGCCAGGCCCGAGCCAGGCAGAACCACAGACCACAGAACAACACCAGATCTGAAGGGAACCACCGAGACTTACTAAACCTCCAATTATTTTTCACTGAGCTGCTTTTTATTCTTCCAAAACCAACGAAATAGAACAAAACCCAAACAGTAGAATAAAGAGAGGGAAGAGCTTTGTACCTTGCTCCTCAGGGTTGGGGCCAGAGCCAGAGACACCGTCTCCTGCACTTGGCCTTCTGAGGGCCTTCCCACAGGAGACAGGCGGGTGCCGTCAGGGTGGCCAGGAGCGCACCCCACACCTCCTTCCCTGCGTCTTGCTCCTTTATCCTGTGGCACCCGACCCCGTCCTCTCGCCTCCCATCTTACCCATATCCCACAGCACCTTTCACCTCTAGTCACCCTCCCTGTGCAGAGCCCAGCCCTGCCCAGGGGCTCAGGAAGCTCTGGGACTGCGAGATGGTGGGCAGAGCAGGCTTTGGGTCTCCTGAGCTGTCCAGACGCCTCGTGGGGACGGTGAGAGGGAACTGAAGGACTCTCCCCTTCCTTCACCAATGGCCTCTCTTTGCCACCCCCTGGCTGGGCAGAGGTGTGGTTTGCTGGACAGTCTCATCCCAAATGGACAGGGCTCAGATCCTGGTCACCTGGAGCCTGTCCGCCAACCCCAGCTGCACAGCAAGCCAGGCCCAGTGTGATCCCCACCGGCATGACCAGGGGGCACCTCCCAACCCTAGAAGCACAGCCATCCCCACAGCCTACGCTGGCATCCCCAGCAGGGTGAAGTGGACAAGGGACATGAGGGGAGGTGATGATGGCCAGCCCTCCCAGGTAGCCCATCTTATTACAGGAGTCTTTTCCGGACAATTCTTCACCACAGGGGCCAGGTTCTAGTGGTGGAGCTGGGGACAGGGTTTGGGGCAGTAAACTCAGGACTGATGGGCTGGGGTGGAACCTTTGACCCCCCGGACCAGCGAGGACTCATTCTGAAGAGCAGCCCTGCTCTAAGAGGGCTCTGGCTCCCCAGCCTCCTTCCCTGCGCCCCCCACAGGCTGACTGGTCTCCCCCACCTGCACTGGGAGCCCCTCTGAGCTCTAAAACCCAGACTCCACTCCAGCAGCCCCCCTCCCTGTTCTGCCACAATAAGAGCCTGACGCAGAGGTGACCAGTTCTGTGCTGGCCACGGGGTGAGATGCACTAGAGAAATACGTATGGAAGGGAGGAGGGGCGGGAGGAGGACCTAATTCCCTAGCTTAATGCCAGTGGAAACTAAGAAGAGAGCGACTTGAAATCGAGTGTCCTGCCGTGCCCCAAACTGTGATTCCCTCCCTTCAAAAAGCAGCTGAGGGCTCCTCCTCCTCCAGGAAGCCTGCTCTGATTTTCCCAATTCCCATCACCTCGGGCCCCTGCAGAGCCTGCCATGTTGTTTTTTGACCCTGATGACCTGGGAACACACTAAGGGTCATGTGACAAGCACCCTTCTCATCTCTGCACTCC